ACCAACACCCACACCCACCCACCCACACCCACACCCACACACCCACACCCACACCCACACCCACACCCACACCCACACCCACCCACACCCACACCCAACCCACACCCACACCCACACCCAGTTTTTTCTCAGAGAATAACAGAATGAATGAAGCTGACATCAACGTCCTTCTAGCTTTTAAAAACAATCCTGTAAGAATAGATGAAAACAAGCATAAGGAATACAAGAAGGTGTAAAGTCAACAAGCATTTTGCTCCCAGAGTGTGCCCCACGGAGAAAAAAAGAAAAGTAATGTATTAGTGTTGACGCTGACTAAGTTTTCCCTTCCGAAAAAATTTTTATTCTCTTCTCCACAACTTGCATCGACTATCGTCACATACGAACAAGCATAAATAAAAGTCATTGCATCTAAAAAATTGACTACCTGTTGTGGTGTGTTTTCTCGTATGTGGCTTTCGAATGTCACGCAAATATAACCAAGTAGAAAAATCGCCAAAGATTCAAACTACTACAAACAGTAGAATGAATGCTAAACAACAAAACGGAGAACTCAGACAAACAGCACGACAGAAAAATGTAGACAATGCTGGTTCTTCATATCAGTCTGCTACAAAATTTATCAGAAACTTAAAAGGTGATCGTTTAGGAAACAAGGAAAAACTTCCACCTATTCCACCTGCAAGATCTTATTTCGATGACGATGACGACGATGTTAATGACAATGACCAAGATTTTGAACTTATCAATGAAGACTCTTTACCACTCAAACTATTCGCCGGCAAAAAACAATCACTTACCGAACTGAGTGAAGAATCCATGTCGTATTTATGGCTTAGACGTATCAAAGAAATTTTTTTACGCATGGGTGATGGCAAAGATGAACAAGTTGACGATCCTTTTGTTGAATTTGATATAAATTTAGGTAAAGCAGATTTGGCAAATACATGTGATCGATATATCGAGAACGAACGACCCGCGCTTACAAAAAAGGTAATATTGGTCAATTAAGATTTTTCTAGAATTTTCAAGTGTAAAAAATTTCGTTGTTTTTTCGAAGTTTAACTGAAGTTAATAAGATCGACTGGTTATGATTTTAAATTGATCCAACAATGTCTGAATAAAAGGACGGACGGTTAAACGAAGGTCATCGATAGATAAAGAACTATCGAATGCGCGAAGTCATTTTTTGAAAGTAATTAACATATACAACTAATAGATCGTAATAATCTACAGAGACTCCAAATTTGATGGTGCATGTAGGAAGATTATTAGTGAGCGATGTTATATGCTTTCTCATTTATGTAGTATAGAAAATAAGATTATGTTCTTATATAAAATTCTGCTTGTTGTTCATTGCTTTTATACGAATATCAAAGTAGCTAATTCCCAGAACTTTTGATCTAAATAACAAAATTATATGGAAGTTGACAGTATATGCATTAATACAAAAAAGCGTACTACTTGAATCTACAATCTTATAGGAACATATTGAAAAGCAGAGGCATTCGAAACATTTGCACTGTCTTCACAATGAAGAATATTGATATCTTAATTGTTTATGTTGGTCAGATTAGTTCTGTCAATAGATTAAAGTTTTAATCGATATCTATCAGCGATTTTTTTCAGTTCGTGAAGAGTATTTAGGTAAACTTAAATAACCATCTTACGTCACGTCGAAATTTCGTTATTTCAATAATGCTCAGTGTATGTGTATTCTTTTCAGAGGTCCACTTCACCATGGCAAGAGGTTTTGATAGATTTACAGTCAATGGATTCAGAATATGTTCGCAAGCCATCTACTTGGAAAACATTTTACTTTCAATGACATTGTATTATTTAAGGAGCTATTGGAAGTTTTTGTTGTTGACATATATCAGTTAATTCAAATCCTGAATTCTATTTTTTTTTTATAGCGTATTACAATTTCTAACTGTATCAAAAGAAAATTGTAGTCTCGAAAAATCAGTTCTGGCCCGCATCTAGTATGCTCACCGCTGATTATAGCTTGACTCTCGTCCTCATTCCTCTGATTTTATAATAAAATGAATGCCTTAATTTATAGATAAATTCAGAAAATCTTTAAAAAATAATAAACCCGTGAAACTGCGATCAAGTGAGCTTCTACCAGAGTTAATAGAGGAAAGAGTTAAAGGTAACACTTAGGTAAATTGGTCGTCTTGAAGATGCAGATTTCTCATTTTGTGTATTTGTTTCATGAGTCAACAACAAATTTGTTGTCAAGCAGGATTCAAATACTACGACAACCACTAAGTCCAACCAACAAACTGGTTCATTTGAGACTACTCAGAATTGTATTAAAGAACTTAACGATCTGATTAGTAACCCATTATCAGGAGACTTATCGTCATTATTGAGTAAATGTATTAAATCATTACAAGAGCTCGACAAAAATACTCAGAAAATTATTGGCAAGCTGCAAGAGCAACAGAGCAAAACCTCGGAGCTCGATACTCGCACTATTCTAGAACTCATGCGATCTTTACAAATAACGGAAGAAAAGGAAAAAAAGAGTGATTTGGAGATAAAGCAAGAATGGGATATGAAGAAACTCTATGCCGAAGTATTTAAAATGTCCTACAAAAGAAATCAATTGATAACAGAAGTCGAACAGGTAATGGCATAATAAATTCTTCAAGATTATTTCACATAATTGGTTTATTTTATAAATATGATTAGGAAGAATTAACACCAATAAAGAAAGGTGATGATCAGCTGAATTTTGGTAATGCTATTTGGTGGTATTCATGTGACAAGGCGAATATATACTATCAAATTAATTCAATATTACGTCTTGAAAATTTTGAATTGCTGATGTCATATCGTTATTATTTGAGTGATCTTTGCAGAATGATTGAATTCATGTATCAAAAAAGAAAAGATGAATACGGTGATGTTGTACAAATATTCTATCGATCTGGTCATATTGATAAAAAACAGCTAGAGAAGATGCGCAAACAACAAAAAGGTCAATTCATATCACTGCTTGGTTTTATTTCAGCTACAACTAATATGAACATTGCCAAAGGCTATGCTAAAAAACAACATACTTTTAAAGATAATGAAAAAGTTTTGTTTGAAATCAGAATCGAACCTCAGCAACCATGTACAGCATTTGCATATATCTCTGGTATCTCATTTCATCCCGAAGAAGAAGAGGTCTTATTTAGTATGGGCTCAACGTTTACTGTCGATGACATTGTTGAGCCTAAAAATGGCGAAAATTTTTATACCATTCAACTTACAGCATCTGAAATCGATAAAACACTTGTCGACGATATTCGTACGAAAGCTGAAGAGTGTTCACCCTCGGGTCGAGCTGTTCTACTTGCTCAGTATCTTATGGAATTAGGCGAGTATCGAGCAGCCCGTAAATATCTTAGCTCACTTCTAACCCAAGCATGCGATGGAGGCATATTGGCAAATGACCTAAATCTTGCTGCCATTTATTGTTGTCTAGGTATGACTTACGCTCGGCAATGTCTTCATAGTGATGCACTTAAAGCCTTCAAACAGGCACTTAACGTACAAGCACGTGTCGAATATTCGAATAATAATGCATTAGCTAATATTCATAATAATATTGGATTAGCCTATATAGGCTTAGATCATATGGATGAAGCGGAAGAGACATTAGCGAAAGCGCTACGTATACAATTACGAGAAGTTAATTCGAATCAGCAGCACTTAGCATCGATTTACGGTAATATTGGTTATGTTCATTATAAAAAGAACGATTTTAAAAAGGCGCTAGATGCTTTCAGTAAAGCTGAAAACATTTACAAGCAAAGTTCGAGCAAAATTGCACATGACGAACTCGAAAAGTCTCTGATAAAAGCTGAGTACCTGACAAATTATGGACATTTACTAAGTGCTTATGGGTCTTTGACGAACGCACAAAAACAGTATAACGAAGCGCTCAAACTCTACAAGAGTATTCTGCCGGTCGACGACCCTAAACGAATGCAAACTCATATCAATATAATGTTTGCTCATCGACAAAATAAAAATTATGATGAAGTTACCAAAAAATTTGAAGAATCGACAGTGCAACAACTGATCGACAAACAAGAAAGTAATATGTTTGAGTTGAACAGTTCGGTCAGACAAGCGACTCTTGCTTTTCTGTGTGAGTTTGTCGGTGCTTGTTATGCAAAGCAGAAATTATTTGATAAAGCTATTCGTACGTGGAAACGTAGTTTAATATTCCAACGTAAGGCACGATTAGAACAACTCTTGCTTGGAACTACAGATAACATTTCTTCAACACTAACCAAAGCTCATGAATCCTTTATCAGTAAAAGTTATCAACTTGCACGTGAAGATTATTTGAAATCAATCAAGTAATTATTTTTCTCTGATAATTTATTCCATTATCAATTTCATAATATAGAGAAACAAATGAGCCAAAAGACGAGACAATTAAACAACTGCCTAAGGATTTTTGTTTGGGTTTTCTCTATGCTGAATCATATAATCGCGATAAAGCAATTGAATATTTGACGAAGATGACAACAAGTTTACAAAAATCTGATCACGACATCTTGTTTGCTGTTTATCTTCTCTTGGCTGACATGCTCAAACATCAACATGAATATAAAAAATCTATCGAAAATTTCGATCAAGCATTAAAATCACTAAAGTCTCTCGAAAGTCAAAAGGATCGTGTATTGGAAATTGAAATAAAATTAGCTCGTATTGACTGTCTCATTAAAACCGATCAAAATAATGAAGCAATCACCAAATTGGAAACACTCCGAAAATCGTTAAGATCGAATGATACTGATACGAAGCGTATAAGTCTTAAAGTAATCATTTATGATACACTAGCTCGGTATTTTTTGATGCAAAAAAACTACAAATTATTTGATATCAATGTTGAGGAGTCACTAGTACTTAAACTTCGTTGCTTCTCTCAGTATCATCCCAGTTTAACTATCAGTTTAATATTAATGGCCCAGCGTCATACTCAAGAGCGTCGTTACCGTGAAGCATTAGAATTTTATGGGCATGCACTTGAAGTGCAAAGTTTAAATTTGACTGATAAGCATCCGAAAATAAGAAAGATTTGCTATGCCATTGGTGATATTTATTGTGAATTGGATAAATTACCAAATGCAATGGAAAAATATAATGTGGCCGAAAACAAAAGTTTGGACGTAGATGAAGATGATGTTCTACAGCAAGAGACAACTAGTTTAGGAGAATCAATGGAAATTTTAATGGCTCGAATAAGTATGCATCAACATTTAGCAGAATATCATTCAAGAAAACAAGCTTATAAAGAGGCCATTTCAGAAATGAATAAAATTATCAATTTATTAGAAAAAAAATTACCATCGTCAACATTCGATATCAATGATGAAACAGTAATAATCCAAGAAAATATCGATGCGTCGATACTCATTATCCGTCTACAACAGCTCGCCAATTGTTATCTGCAATTAGGTGACATAAGAGATACTGAACAAGAAGATCACAATGGCTACAAGGCCGCCTTCAACATTTACACGAAACTCGCTCAGTGTGGTGGAGAAGTAGAAAGCAATAAACTTGCTATACTCTGTAGGAAGTTAAGTAATTATTACGAAGATCTTGGAGAGAATGAGGAGGCCCTTCGTTTTCTACAAGAAACTGCTGACTTAGAACAACCAACGATTGCTACTCTATATCGATTAGGACGTTTGAACGTTGCTTGTAATAAACTAGATGAAGCTGTGACAAATTACGAAATAATATTATCTGATAAGTCAATCAATGAACAAAAAGAACTCGAACAAATTGTGCGAGAGAAGTTAAATGAGGTTAAAGACAAAGTAAAAAATCAAGAGAGACGATGGTCGACAAGTTCGAGCGAGTCCAGTAAAAGGGCATCCAGTATTGAAATATCAAATTTGTCAAACCACCTTAGCAGGAATCCAACTAATATATCTATAAGTACGCAACATAAAAACGAGGTAGATCCAGATGTGAAAGAAGAAAAAGGTCAGTCAACATCTAGTATCTTTCTTTGATTTAAAATATCTATTTTCAGGAAACGCTGTTGACTCCTCTGATCATCGAGCCATGGCAGCTGCTTATTTTCTTCTTGGTGATTTTGAAATGGCACTAAGATATTATGAAAAAGATATTAGAAAACGTAATAAGAATATACCAGGCACAAACAGGTTATATACACAAATACAAAAAATTGAACAAGACGCATACACTTACGAACAACAGTGTATATTGATCTTTTTGCCTAAAGTATTCCATTTTCTGGTCGAGAAAATACGAGAAACAAACGATTTTGAAGTTACCAACATATTGGATTTAGCTGATTCGTATTTTCACTGTGCTCTGCTTTATGATCAATTCTCGTTACATCTCAAAAGTATTGTTTCGTATATTTCAGTTTTCGCTATATATGCTACGGAATCGAGCAGTAAAATCAAAATATTAATCACTGAAGCAACCCATATAATAAATTCCTTTGTAGCGGATGGTCTTAAACCAAATGATATCATTGAAATCTATATGCGACTGCTGCCGTCGGAAGATGAAATTCAAACACGTTTGAAAATAGCTGCTATGTATCGTGACAATGAAATGAACGATGTTAAAGATTTAGATGATGATGGTGATACAAGTAACGAATCACGAGAAATAGCTGTACAATTGTATGGAGATTGTCTAAAAGCTACTGATGATGTATTGGCAAAAGGTGTATGTTATTACAATATTTTAAGTGTTTATAAGAATTTTATTTATGAAGATGATGTTGGCAAAGCCATTGTAGACGATATGATTAATTACTTAGCAAAGTTTAATAGCTCTGATCGACGTTTGTTAATTACATTAGCATTACATTTCCTAAAAGAATACGACAATAATAAAGGCTATTGTGGAATGAAAAGTAATTCTCTGCTGCAAAAATTTTCAAATTATCCTTTCAATGGAAAATTGGAAATAGATAACGCATTGAATATTGGATACTATCTTATTAAATCTAATGATCTCGTAAGTGCTGAAGAATACTGGAGCTCGATAGCCGAACAAGTTGAATGTAATATAGTCGGCCCTGCTCTTCCACTTCTTCATGATTATTATTCGACATTCAATCAGATTCTTAATGCTATAAAACAGCCAGAGAACGACATAAACGTACTTTTCCATCAGTTGGTTGATACTTATGAAAAAATAGGCGATTACTATATATTAGACGCCAAGAATGGTCAAAACAAAGGTACAGAATACTTTGAACAAGCCGAAAGCATGTACCAAATGGCAGTACATTTATTGCAAAGACTCAAAGCTAAGAACGACAAAATTAATCAGATTGACAAGAAACAACAAACGGCGGCGTCACAGGCAAGGAAATCAACACAACCATAAAATGAATAACATTCATTACTGATCAAAATGAACACCTAATTGAAACTTTTTTCTAATCTGATCCAATGATGAAGGGTGTAATTTTTTCTCTGTTTTGAATAACATTCATAAACAAGAAAAACTAACAGAAAAGACTATCAAAAACAACTTGACTTTTCGATAGAACTTCTCTCTCTTAGCTAGTTACAATAGATGAACAAAAAATATTCTTCCTGAGTGTGTAGGTTGGTGTTGAATGTGGGTGTGGGTGTGGGTGTGGGTGTGGATGTTCTTCTTATTTTCTAGAATACCCACACCCACCCACACCCACCCACACACCCACACCCACACCCACACCCACACCCAGAATTTTGTTCACTTTACAACTTCAACAGAGTTTTACATATGAAATCACCAACAAGAACGTTTTCTCTTCATATTTTTACCCACTCAATCAGAGTTGGCCATCATCGAGTACGCAACCAATGTTTTACAATAAAAATCAAACAAGTGCCGTCAACACCATCGATCACGTGGAATCTAAATTATATCAACAATTCACAACAAATTCTCGATAATTTGGCCGAATTTCAAATAATAAAACAACTTGCAATTGCCATTTGGAAAAACGCTTTTCGACATATGTGCATGATTCAGACCTCAATCAAACGGACTTGATAAAAAAAAAACTTCGTTATAATTTGAATTGAATTTTTTTGGGAAAAATGCATCCGTATAGATATTGATATCTCATCTATACTTTCATCCCTATATAGTCTGTAATAAGCGGCAAGTCTCAGTAAACAGACACGTTTTTATTTCTTTTTTGACAACTTTCTTTGCCAAAAATATTACTTGTTGCGTATTGAGAGAATTATTAAAATAACAATTACATCTTTTTGTCGAGCAGATACTTTGTCGGCGTTTTTGGAAAAACAATACGTAGGGTGTGAGTGCATGAGTGGGTATGAATTAAGAGAAAAATTCACCCACATTGTCTATAATCATCATCTGAATGAAATACTAACTTGATGAAAATTGTTTTATTTTTACTTTGACTATCATAAATGCGTATTATTTTTTGAACTTCGGCCTTATAAAAATCAAAAACTAATGCTAGAAAGCTCAAACTAAAATAAATATAAAAAAGAGGGTAAACAAAAATCATAATATGTTTTATGTTAACATCATGATATAATCAGGTTCATTATATTCATCATTTTCTTCCTTCGTTCATTTATGGCATCGACCTTTTCATGGTTTTGTTCCTGTAATAAATCCAGAACTGGTAAAAAAAAATACAAGAAAAATAAACTTTTTAGTTCATGCAATAATTTTGCATGAGTAAGTTTAACATGAACAATGGTAAGGACCCAACATTCATGAAAAAAAAAAACAAGAGGAAAAATCTGAATGGCAGCCTGTTGATTTCTACTACTGGTAACTGTATGGCATATATATATGATTCGTTAGAAATCGACTTAAAGTATTTTAATCGTTTATTTGATTTTCATCATAGTTAGTATATCATTATGTTCTTTGTAATAATAAATGGATTGAAGCGTTATTTGAACGTCGTTTAAGAAATTAAATAATTTGTTTATGCCTCTATGATGTTTGCTGTAACCATTGATTATCACATTGTCTAATGTCATTCATTGTTTCTGATTGTTCAAGGCAAAAATAGTCAGCGAAAGTCGGTCGTCCGATTGATTCTATTCTATTCACTGATCCTATATAAATGTTGTCAGTTGTGAATTATAAACGAACTAACCTACCCATTAACTTTATTGCTCTATTCGGACTTGTCTGACTACGATCACTCGACTGTATCATCCTCTTAATTTCAATCTATGAAATATCCTTTTTTGTTTCTTTTGTAGATGAAAGGAAAAAATTACACAAATATTACAACTGATAACCATAAAGAAACTCTACAATTATTGACGGAAAAACAACCTGTCGACGAAGAAGAAGCAGAAGAAGTAATTACAAAAAGAAAACTTCAAAATGAAATTGAAAAAATAAAACGTGAAGCTGAAGAAATTGAACTGATGGTAGATACAAAAAATCGAGATGAAATCGAAAAAATAAAACGTGAAGCTGAAGAAATAGAATTGATCGAAGAAACAAAACATCAAGATGAAATTGAAAAAATGAAATGTGAAGGTGAGAAAATGAAACAAATCCAAGAAATAATATTTCAACATAAATTAAAAAAAATGGAACGTGAAACTGAAAAAATAAGACGAATCGAAGAAACAAAACGTCACCATATACATGAAACTTATGAAGCAAAGCGACGCAAGCTAGAACTCAAATTCACTTCATTGTCAACTAAGAAAAGTCTTCATGTGTTTACATCTGATTATGGTTTTTACAATATCGATCTATCTAGTTATTTGCAATCATTCAATATTAATGTAGTATTAAATGACAATAACTATTTTAATGATAATATATTAAATTATATTGAACATTATTCAAAACAATTTTCATCATATCCTAAATTAAACGAGGAAGATATTCAAAAAGGATTTGATCAATTAATTGTTAATTTATTAAATACATTGAATAATTCTACATCATTGAAATATTTAAATACATCTTCTTCAAATTATTTAAAAAATTCGTTTAATCCTCATTGTACATTTATATATAAAAATATAAATATCGATATTGATCAAGAAAAGTCATGTTTAAAAGATTTTGTTGTTTCTCTTGGTAATTTAATGTCTCCATATATTTCTTTATTATCAGATTCAATGATTGAAGAAATATTACAATATTTGACAATGATATTGGAAGCACAACATCGTGAAAAGATATATGGTTTTCTTAGTAATTATATACACATCAAATTTTTTTATGTGAAAAAGAAATCTGATTCGAACTGGTGTGAATTTTTTCAAAGTCAAGAATTAGAAATGTTTACTTATTCGTCTGAAATATTATCGTCTATTGATACGTCAACAACAGCAACAACAACTGAAAATACAAGAAAATTAGAGATTAATAAAAATACATGGAAAATATTTACAAATTTTTTAACAATGAATACTGACTTTTATCAATATACAAGATTAAATATAGATCCTCATGATGATTTACTGAGTGGTCGATATATGATAACAAAAAAATTAGGATTTGGTGTATCATCGATGGTTTATTTATTAGAAAAAAATGAAGATAATCATTCAGTTGAAGATTCACCACATCATGTAATGAAAATATTAAAAACAAGTGAATATTCAAAATGTTTTCGAAAAGAAGTTAAAATAGCGAAAAAATTAAAACAATTTAATGATTTAAATAAATTTCATTTATTTTTTCAAGATATTATATATTCATTGTCTTCAAGTAAGGCATTTGTCTTTTGACTTTTTCTATAGATTCAAAATTTGTCATAAAAAATAATGTTGAATTTATTATTCTTCAATGTAATTCGTTTGAACAAGATGACTTCGAATAAAATGAATGCTTCTTTTTTTTTATTTCGGTGATATATGAAAAGAGTACGAAGATAAAAATCTAGATAATAACGATCGATTGAATATAGACTGAAGCAACATTTTAAACAAGGATAATGATGATTAATAAAATATTTGTTGTATAAAAAAAGAAACAAAAGAATCATCATTTCAAGTAAGATTAGTTAAAAGAAAGAGATCATTCTTTATTTTTATCCTTAGAAGATAAGTGAAAGCTCGATAAAACATATTATTAGCACTAAAGAAGAATAAATTATAGGAATTAGCACTTCACAGTTAGTTTTCAAAGAAAAATATGGAATTTTTATGGTTAAACGTGTTAATTTTTAGTTTCAACATGTTCAAATACATTACTATTGTGTAAACGTGTTCATGAGCAGTAGTCTTTTGCTTTTAGTAAAATATTTCGAGTAAAAATACAGCTGTATGAAATAAACTTTGCTAACATTTCCAAGGATTAGATTCAAAATTATACTACTTAAATAGATCCCATGGTAGAAATAAATTTTATGAGTGATATGCAGTAGAATCCATTTTAATATTGAGAAATAAAAGAATAGTTGTATAAGAAAAAACACAAATCTAAATAAATTTTGTCTTATTGAAATACATGCCATTAGTTATTTGCTTCAGAAGCTATATATAAATTAATCTATCAAAAGAAATTTTCATTAAATAATCTTTTGCTAAATATTTGTCTTTTTCTCTATAGTAGTTTCAATGAATAATATTTATTCAAAAAGAAAAAGATGATCCGAACGATCATAGTTCTTTTATTTTTATCACCGTCTCTTTCTTTTTTCATATGATTTCTTATCATCAAACTTAAAAAGAGAAATGCCGAGTATTATCTTTCTCAAGAAAAATCTTTGTTTTTCCATTGATTAATCAAAGGTTTTGTTTTAAACAGATGTTTCTAGTTTTAGAGTAACAGTATATATAGAAGAGAAATTTGGCAACCCTATAGAAATAAGAGTATTGATATATATCAATAGGATAAGTATGTAGCGTATAGGCATAATATGATAGATATAAAGCTATATGACTAAACAGGTATAGATGTAACGCACTAGGGTTAAGGATATAAGTATGCCAGTTATAACAAAAGGATATAAGGATAATGTATACACGAAAGTGAATATGGTCAAATCTTTATGCACATATTTTTAGTCTTTCATGTCTATGTAAGAAAAGGGAGGATAAATAGATAGAAGTAGAGCTTTGCAAGAAAAAGATGTGTTATATATTAACGAAACTCATCGTAAAAGCTGAATTTTTAAATAACCCGTTTATCTTTCTAACCGAAACAATACTTTTTATTTAAATGAATTAAAACTAAATTAAATTAGTAAAATTTTCGTCCAATTATTTTTGTAAAGGTCAACATGGCACGGATCAGCTCCATTAACGATATTCTATACTATGAGAGGAAAAACTAAAGATTTAAAAACTATTGTTTGATAAATGAGATAGATAACACAAAGCGAAATTTTTGAAAGTAATGTTTACTAGAACAAACCTGCTTTCAATCTGAATTCAACTATGACATATCTAATCTTGAGAATTCTATCAGGTAATTTAATGATTGATATGACTTTTCTAATAAAGAACTCAGCTCAGTTATTGATAAAAAAAACTAAATGTCTTAGAATAATTTTCAAGATTTTAACTTTCGTTTATATCTAAGATTGTAACTAAACAGTTGTCTTTACTATTCGTTCGTAGTTTAGATGAAATAATTAATAAAAAGAATATTTTACGTAAGTGATTTGTTTCTATACAAGGCTACATCTCAATTTACCTATAGCTGAAATAATATTTTATACTATTTCTAAATTTTTTATTGTTTGTATTCAGATAAATATTTATTTTATGAAAAACAATTACAATGTATAGAATCATTATCATTGATGCAATCGAAACAACTCATTGATATAGTTCATTATTTATATGATTGTGGTGTTATTCATCGTGATATACGTCCACAAAATTTAATGTTAGATCGTGATAGTAATCATATAAAATTAATTGATTTCGGTTTTGCCATTGCAGTTAATATCAATAACAAGGCGGGTAGCATAGATATAATAGGTCCACTTGCATTTGCTAGTGAACCATTTTTAGATTTTTATTCAAAATTATTAAAAGGCCAAGAGTTCCCATATTATTTTTATGAACGAACTTTTGATTTAATATGTGCATTAAACATTATAATGACTATGAGTAATGCTGATGTCAAACAAAGTATTGATTCATTTAATAATTTACAAGATGTTAACGAACTAGTCTTAAAATCATTGCAATTATGGAAAGATACTCAACGTGCAAATAAATATTATTCAAATTTATTGAATTTAATAAAAAAACTGAATTCATGGTATACATTAGGTGAATTAGATGAATCAAATGGATCGGATGAATTATCAGTTTCTCATCATTCAAAAGATCAATCAGTTCAATCAGTTCAATCATCACTTTCGAATGTTTCAAAAGACCAATTAGATGAATTAAATGAATTAGATGAACCAAATGAATCAAATGAATTAAATGAATCAAATGAATTAGATGAACCAAATGAACCAAATGAATCGGATGAATCATCAGTTTCTCATCATTCAAAAGATCAATCAGCAATTTTTGAAGTTATAAAAGATGAAATAGAAAAACTTTTCGATATGTGAACATTTATATTAATGCTTTTTTTCTATATCACATGTTCATGGCATTCATTTTAAAATTTCACATAACACTTCTCATTCATATTTTTCCATTCACTTCTTTTTTTTTTGTTTACTAATTATTTATTTGGTAATTTTGATCTCTATCCATATATAAACAATCATCGTCATTAAAAAAAATTTCTTTTTTCATTTATTAAAACGAGTGTTTTTGAATTTTCTAGTCTAGAGATAAGAAAGTTGTATTCCACAGACGGACATAGCCAGTATCAATTTCCGGTTGCAAAAGATTTTCGACGGAAGAAATAAATTTTGTGAAGTTTATAAAATGAATTTCTTTTGAATTAAAATAAAATCTTACATATTCAATCAAAATGACAATAAGTACCAGTGTATTAAATTTTGATTAAGCTAGTCAAAACGCATTTATCCTTGATTATCTTGAGGGTGTGGGCGTGAGTGCGGTGGAGGATATGGGTCGACAATGAGAATTTGAGGCTTTTCTTTGGATCCATCCTTGATTTGCCAACTTTTGTTACTTAGATAGAGCATTACTAATACCTAGAGGCAGATTCAAGTGAAGTTTTTTTGCCAGATAATCCATATCGAAAATGGTATCAACCATTCGATAGAGAATCTAAATCTGCATCTAAGACCGAACACAGATGAAAAATTCAATCCAGTGCCAACATTACTTACGTTATATAAATAAATAATTCGATAATGCATCGATAGCAAGTTCTCGCATTTAATGAGATTACCTGGAAAGTGTTGCATTTTCGAATAGACGATCTTCGATTGCTTTACCGATAATTATAATAAATTCCAGACTTTTTTTCGAAAAGTTTCTGAAACCCAAGGGGGAAAGTGCAGATTTGGTACCTCAGCATCTGCTCAGCGTCTCAGCATCTGCTCAGCACCTCAGCACCTGCTCAGAATCTCAGCACCTCAGCACCTTCTCAGCACCTTCTCAGCACCTTCTCAGCACCTTCTCAGCACCTTCTCAGCAGGGTGTGGGTGGGTGCGAGTGTGGGTGTGGGTGTGGGTGTGGGTGGGTGTGGGTGTGTATGTGGGTGTGGGTGTGTATGTGGGTGTGGGTGTGTATGTGGGTGTGGGTGTGTATGTGGGGGTGGGTGTGGGTGTGGGTGTGGGTGGGAGGGGGGGGGGGGGGGGTGGGTGTGGGGGGTGGGGG